TTTAAAGTAGTTAAATTCATAGCAATAGAAAGTAGAATAGTGGTTACCAGGGGATGGAAGGAGCTGATCAGGGAGTTGTTGTTTAATGTGAATAGTTTCAAATTTACAAGATGAAGAAGTCCTGGAGATGTGTTGCACAGCAACGTGAATATTCTTAACATTACTGAACTATCTACACTTAAAAAAGATGGTAAATTTTATGTTGTATGTTTTTTACTATCACCACAAAAATAGATAAATAGTTAACTTTAAAAAGAACAGGGCTGATCTAAAAAAGATTATCTTGAAGGTCAGAGTTTGGCTAATTTGATTGAAAAACTTTTGTAGTGAAGAGGGAGCCAGCATATTGTTAGAGAGTCAAATCACGGAGTGGCATGACCTGTTGGCAACATCTCATCCCCCTCTAGTGTCTGATTTTCTCTCAAATAGCATTTCCCCCTGCCAGGCTCAACTGCCCCACACACTGTAGTAGACATATAAAAAGCAGGACTTCTCTGGGAACAAAGCTTCCGTCCTGCTGCTAGAAACCCAACTCTTCCCCATAGGAGGCCTTAAGTCAAACTATAGACCAATGGAGGTATCTATAATAATAAAAGCATAATATGCAAATCAAGCAAACGGCCGAACGGCAGAACGACCATCTGGATGATCACGCTATGACACACACTGGCGCCAGGCCAGCCAAGGCAGGTGTGATGTGATTGGTGGGGGGGGCCCTCGCCATCACCCCACGATTGCCCTACAGAGGGAGGCCCAGGCTACTCAGCCTGCAGTGCTGCGGTGGGGCCTCCCTCTGCAGGGTGATCGATCAAGGGGCTTCTGGACTGTGAGAGGGCACAGGCCGGGCTGAAGGACCTCCCCCCCCTCGCCCCCGCACGAATTTCATGCACGAATTTGTGCACCAGGCCTCTAGTTTGAGTATAACTGAGATAGAATATAATTTATTTAATGCAATGAAGTACGAAGAGATTAGATTAAAAACTAAAAGGCAATACATTTAAAAACTACAGTAGGTCCTCGGGTTACGTCACAGATCTGTTCCTATGGCGCGATGTAACGCGATTTTTGCCTTAAGTCAGAACCCACCTACATAAGCACCTACGTCACTCACATGGAGCACAGACACAGCAGTAATGAGGTGAAACAGTAAAAAAAAAAAAATTTTTAAAAAGATAATTCCTGACCTTTACTTGTGGTAAATAAATAATAAAAAACATAGAGCACATATGTACATGTCAAAATGATGGAACTTTTTCTTTTTTATAAATAAATGGGAGATGGCGACGTAACCACGAAACAATGCACGTCGAGAGGACTGTCTGTATTAGTTAGAAAGGGCTAAACACCCGGTTTAGACCAGGTCCTCAGGAGGAGTGCCTTTGTTTGATGAAAAGATGTAATGAAAAGCAGCGTGTTAGGCATAAAGCACCTACATTTGTGGAAATGGTAGGCTAGGCATCCCTAGAGCAATGCTGGTTCCAAGGCATGTTCTTTCCTTCTTCACCTGACCTACTTTTAGGATGAAATCTACTTTCAACCACATTCTTCTTGTGGCATTTAAGCCCCCTTCTCGCCATTCTGGACAGTTCTGTGTTAGCCTGCTGTATTTAATGAACTCCCTGGCAAGCTTTTGTTTTATTCAAGAATTCTGTAGCTGCAAAGTCTGAAAAAAACTGACCTAAGATATTGAAGGGAACAAAATTTTGCCACCCTGAAGCTGCCTTTTTGGCATTTTGATTTTAAATTGTTTATTAAAAAGACAAAAAACTCAGAAAGAACCTTTGGCCCTCCCCCCTTTCCTGCCCAAGAGCTGCAGACAGAAGCCTGCTTTGGGAAGGGAGCCTTGGCTTAATCACCTTAGGAATCTTCACCCTAGCATTAGTCAGGAAGACTCCAGCTTGTTAGCAAGAATATTCCTGCCACTCTTGTTCTGCACTCCCTCAACTACCTGTAAATTGCCCATTCTCACTCCTGAAATCTAAGACTCCATCCCCACCCTCCACCCCCACCCCCCACCCCCACCTTTTCTCCTTTGTCCAAAAATATCTTATATACCCAATGATGCCTGTCTTTGGAATTTTCAGGACGATGTGAATTCCCCATGAACATGTATTAAAACCTTTATTTTCTCCTGTTAATTTTATTAGTCCAGCCTAGAAAAACTTAGAAGTTGAAGAGTATTAATATTCTTTTAGCCCCCACAGTATATATGTCGCTTCAGTGGCTTGACCCTGTGAGTATCCATTGATTTTGTACACAGTAGTTTCTCAACCAAGATACTATTGACATGTTGGGTTGGATTGGTCTTTGTTGTGCGGGCTGTCCTGTGTATTGTAGGATGTTTGGCAGCATCCCCGGCCTCTACCCACTAAATGCCAGTAGCATCCCTCCCAGATCCTATAGTCATGGCAATAAAAAATGTCTCCAGACATTCCCAAATGTCCCTGGGGTCAAAATCCCCTTTACTGTTGAGACCTACTGATACAGAGGACTTACGGGTCCAATTCTAAGCTCAGACCTCAATCTGTTTTGGGCCTGCTGCTGTGTTATTCCAGCTTCTCCTTTCTTTTCCACTACTATGGCCATGTCAAACATTAGCTAGCACTGTATTTTTCTTTTATGGGTAGGAAGAGAAAAGAAGCAGCTAGAGATTCTAACACAAGTTTGGGTATTTGCCTACCATATGTGTAAATGAATAGGAGAAAGGATTACTTAGTTACCTGAAATACAAGGCAGAAGACGTTCGTAGGTATCAGTTTAGGCATTTCAGTACCTGAATGTAAAATTTGTTTCTCTAAATACATGTGTGTGTGTTTTTTAAAGGTAGAATTTAATAAGTATAAATCCTAACAAAAGAAAAATTTAACTTGTAAGTGGTTATGCTTGATCAAAGCATTTAAAATGGCAAAAGAAGTTATGCTTCAGTGGGGGTCTAAAATACATATAAATAGTTTTCCTCCCACTTTCTAAATTCTTCTGGTTTGGCTGATAACCAAATTAAAAGATAGCTATTAACAGGAGAAAATAAAGTTTAATACATGCACATGGGGAATTCACGTAGACATGATAAATCCATAAAAATTCCAAAGACAGTGAGGCAACACTGGATATATAAGACGTTTCTGGACAAGGAAAAAGGGGTGGGGGTGGGGTGAGATAATAGATTTCCAAAGTGAGAATGGGCAGTTTACAGGTAGTTGAGGATGACAAAACATACTTAGCAGGAAAATCCCTGCTAAGTGACTGAGAAACAATGGGGCACAGTGGGTATCTAGCTAATAGGCACCTGCCCGAAGTTCTCTTGTTCACCCTACTTAATTCAAATTGGGCTAAGGGGAATGTCATAAGATCTCCTTCCAGAAGCTGGGTTCTTTGTCTGAAACTCTTGGGCAGGAAAGGGGGGAGGGTCAAAGGTTCTTTCTGGGTCTTTCGTTACTTAGTAAACAGCTTAAAAATCAACATCCAAAAAGCAGCTTCAGGGTGGCAGAATTTTGATCCCTTCACATCCCATCAAGCATCTCTCATCATTGGATTTAAATCCCTTACAATGTTGGTCAAGTCTTAATATGCAGAGAAAGCAAGGTGGATATAGATGAGTTATCCTTTCTATAAGACTCTCCATGCTAGATTAGAGTTTGAAACCCGGGCTTTCTAAAATGCCTAGTGTGTCACATGTTCAGTGTAATCTGAAATTCATAATGTTCTAGTCCAGACAGGTGACCTCTTAAGTAACACGTTTGGGCCATGTTTGGACTAATAGTTTCTTAGTCTCTCATTAGCCATCGTTTGTTTTGCAATACCTGAGGCTTCTTTATTTCTAGAGATCTTCCTTAATGTCATCTTGTCTGTATTTTGGTATTTATACAATATATTTTATTTCCCTCATTTTACACTCGTCACCAGCTATTGTATGGCTAACCTCATCTGCCTCAGAGTGAAGCAGCTCCTGAGGTGCTCATCTCCTGGACCTAACTGAGGTCTCTCACAGGCCTCTGGGTTACACTACACTCACTGCCCAGGCAGTGGCAACATCACCATGAACTTCCCTAACTCCAAGTTATAGATTCACAAAATGTCTGACATAATTTTTCAATAAAAAAATAAACAGCAAAGGTTATATCCTGTTTATTTTTTAGACTAACGTTCCAATCTTTAAGTAAAACTTCCTCCCATGAAGGAAGAGAAAATACATTTAAGGAAGCTGCCACTACTACTCAAAAACTAAAAGGAAAATAAAGCAACATTGCATAACTGTGTTCTAAATAGCTACTACATAGACTACCAAACTAAAACTCAAAATGTAAAAACACAATCACGTACATTAATGCTAACTTTTATATTTCAAATGATCATTTTTCTCTTTTAGGCAGAAATTACCCTCCAATGTGGCCCTTATTCAGCTGAGCTAAAGGATATAAGGGAACAACACTAGTATGCACATAAGGCTGATAAAACAAAATCCAAGAATTAAAAAAAAAGGCTGAGGGACAGAGGAATGAGGAACAAAGTCCAGTATCTTTTCATTTAAACCCAACTATTCGAAGGAATGAAATTATCAGTTATCAATTTAGCAGTTTACTTATGAGACTCCAGCTCAGCCATTTCAGTAATCTTCACGGGTTGCATTAAAAAGTCAGAGCTGTTTTAAGGCCCCCCTTGGTAAAGATGATCCATAGTAAATACTGATACCTCATCAGTGAGAGGTAGACTTGCAAAACAAATATTCCCCTCTCTGCCCTAACCCACCTTTCATGCACAAGAGTCTATAAAAATGGTGCATTATTACTTATGGAAGAATGGGTCAGGGAATGATCAACCAGTTTTTCAATCTATTTGCCTTCACAAATCAGGATTCAGCATATAAGATAAAATTCTACCTGGGAGAATGGAATTTTTTTCCCCTATTTACCTTAATATTTATTTGAATACAATTTTGAAAATTGGGGAATGAAATAATAAACTATATGATACTGGCAAGGTAATTAATAAACTTAACTCACCATTTTTTAGGCTTTGACAATGGTTTGTATTTGCTGTATTTTACACGCCATTCAAGAACTTCTTTACAGCGCTGACATACTCCATCATGAAGTTTTGTATTAATTTTCTAAAAAAACAAAGAGAAAAGCAAATTGAGAATTTCATCTGTGCGCTAGCATTGCAAACCCCATGAAAAAGGCACACAAGAAATTTAAGTTTTTTAAAAACAGCAACCTAACTGTAATCCGTGTTAACGCCTTATATGTATTTTTATGTACATTCCTCAATTTGCTTCTTTACAAAAGCAAAGATGCTTCACTGGTGTTCCTCAGAATCATCTAAGAAACTTTCTATAGCGGAGACTATGAAACTTGAGAAAGGAATGCCAGGGAGAAGCAGTTGCAAGCAAGAATACATTTAATTACTCAGTTGAATCCTTTTGTATTCTCATGTAAAGAAAAATGTTTTAGAAAACTTACCTTGCTAATCTTGTTTCTTCAAGACAGAAAATAAACACTCATGTGCAGTAAATATCAGTGGTGGGAAAAGGGCTTCACGAGGGGGAAAACCCCATTTTTATTATAATTTTCTTTTCAAAGTGTATTGGGCATTAAGGAGGATGGACATTTTTTTAAGTGTGTTGTGTTTTCCATAATAGTTTTATATTTGATAATATGTTCATCTGATTCAGAACCTAGATTCTATATTTTCACTAAGTCCTCTGAGAATTCTCTAACATACTTTTGGTGGAAGCCTGGTCTTTGCCTATTGTGGGAATAATGAGTGGAGCACATTTTACGTTTTCTTTGCTTTTATTTCCCTTTTGTGTTTCTCAAGGGGAAAAAGAAAAGCATCACAAAAAAAGCGGATTCTTTGGAAGGTTATTTTTATTTGATACTGAATTAAAAGTACAACGTTTAATGATCATCTGAAACAAAACTTCCGAATTCAAAATTCTAAACAAGAAGGCAAAATAATTTCACAAAACATTTATCCAAAGAGAAAGTATTTCATAGGATATTTTTGAACACCATAAATTGAGCTGTGAATATATTGTTTCAATTTAACTCTGTGGTGAAAAACGTAATTCTGTTACTTAATGAATTGTGTATGAGTATTCCTTTCTTCCTGACCTAGATGGAGAGTCCCTGAGAAAATAAATTCTGCGTGCCATTATACTTCTTCTTACTGTGGTCTGCTAATTATTGCCCAAAACAACGAAATCTGTGCTTGATATCAAACTCCTCTTCTGAGCAACCTTGATACTTAGTTATCGCCTACAAAGCTTGCTAAGAAATCCTCACAGCCAAAGTTCACATTTCATCATTTGTTCTCCCTGCCTTCTGTTGCCTACAGTATCTTACTAAAAGCATTAAGTATATTTTCATAACTCTAGCACTGGGAACAAGATAATGACTTGACTATGATTACAATATGAATGTGGTGTAAACTTTCTAATTAGAATATGCTTAGAATGCAAAGTGTTTCCTTACCTGAAATTTGATCATATGTAACACTCTGCTTGTTAACTAGGAAGCATTACTTGGTTTCATGTTTGTTTCTGTATCCAATTTCTGACCAGTTCATCTTGATTTACAAAGCTGTGCATAGTTTTGAAACTGGTTTCTTTAGGTGGATTGACAGTAGAACAAAACAGGTCTTTGTGGGAACTTGTCCTGTGAGCGATGTGTGAAGCAGTGTAAATGCAGATGCTGCACAGAGCTCACATAACTAACAGGCACTACTACAAAACTAAACTTGATTTCCATGGGTTAAGAAATGAGTGGAAGTAAGAATGAGAATAGTACTTTCACTTAAAAAAAGCTGCAGAAAGAGAACTGAACACCTTGTTTCCTGAATTTTGGCAAACTAGAGAAAGTTAATTCCAGAGATGTGAGCAATGAAAGCTGTCTTAGCTTTAGGAATCATTCTGCCTTGGGCAAAGAACTCAGCAATCCTATCCTACTCACACCTGTGATGTTTACAGCTAACCCTGTGTGTGCGATTTATTTTAGCATATCCCTCATGGTAGAAGATTCACTGGAAATGGATTTTCAACAGCAATTAGAATTGGAATTTTTCTTGAAAATTTCATTTTTAACTCTATATTTTTAATTAATGAAGGGAGGTATACTATGCCACTATTTTACTTTTAGCATTCCTGAAAGAATTATGGTGTACAAAAAAACCACAAAACTTAATGAACGATTATATTAGTTACTCTTGAATGATATTCAAATTCTTTTCCCCTCACAATAGTATCATCTTTCTGTTAAAGGACACTTTATATTAAGGTTATTAAGGTTAAGATTTAAGCATATAACTATAAAATCAAAATATAAAATACTTAGTTTTCTAAGCGCAAAAGCCTTGAAAGATCATTTAATTCAACAAGGCTACTTTCAAGATCTTTAAAGAAAAAAGGTCTTCTGTGGGAGATTCCACTGAATTTAGGAATCTCAGTTAAAGAAGAAACCTTATTCATTAAATGAATACTTTTTTTAAAAAGGTCAGAATAAACTTAAGGTGTATCAAAAGATACTACTACTTAATATATACATAAAGTCTTAGCCATCACTAATTCATACAGCATATTTATAGCAAATGTTATCCCTGCTCTAAATATTCTGCTGTCAGACAATGCACTTTGGTAATATAACACAGCAATCCCAAAAAGGAATTGGGTGAGGACTTCAAATCCCAAGAAGATAACAAGAGTAAATTGTAAATATAACATCTGTATCAACATGCTGATGCTGAAAAATATTTTACAAAATATAAAGTATCCTTTAACTGTTAAGGATGAAACCACTGTGTGTGCAGGGGGTGGGGGGTGGGGGGGAGTTTGAATACCATTCAAGAATAATATAATCTTTCATTATGATTTTTTGTACATCATAATTCAGAAATGCTAAAAGTGAAACAATGGCATATTTCATGTTCTTTATTAATTGGGGAAAGATAGGCTTTAAAAATGAAATTTTAAGGAAAATTTCAGTTCTAACTGCAGTTGAAAATCCATTTCCATGGAATCTCCTGCATTAAACCTCCCCACAAAATAAGACATTTTATATCTTAATCATATTTAAGTATATATTATTTTTAAGTTTTCTGGTAACAGTCCCTTAGTCTAAATTTGATTAGAGAATAAAAGATCTCTGGATTTGGGAGCAAGAACTTAACTAGTACTAGTATATGACTGTCTTTTAGGCTGTGGCTTTCAAATCATAAGCTACATTTTAAATCCTTTTAATATGGCTAGCACATCGTGGGGTATCAAGTAGCTTATAAAATAAATACAAGCAAAAAAATAGATGAGGGAATCAGATTGGGGGGAAATGAGGGTAGGTAGTGGAAATTAGGAAGCAGTCAGGAGTGCTGCTGGGAAGTACTCCTGCTAGAGATGAACTACAAGGGGGATTTGAACTTTCTAGCAGCCAGTAAGACAGAAGCTCTGCTCCTACCTAACTCAGTGCCTGTAACATGCCAAAATTCTCAGAAACAGCACAACTGATCCTGTTATTCAAACACAAAGTTTCATCTTTCCCAAAGAGAACACCCACCATACAATACAGTAAGCAATGGTCTCTAAAACATCCTTACAATACAAAGCATTTCACAGAGCTGCTTTCTACCCCAGTTCTCAAAGTGCACGTTATATAATGCTAAGCACGGCATGGCAAAAAAAAGTTATTCTTAGGGGTGCAATGCAGGTACAGCTGCCTGATATTTTCGTAGGATCCATAGCAATGCACTGGGTATCATAATGACATCAGGAATAGTACTCAACTGAGTCTAAAAACATTCTTCTCTATTACGAAAATTTCCAAACATGCAGAAAAGTTAAAAAAGTAATACTATACATAGCCATATATACACTGTATAGAGACAACTATTGGCATTTTATCTACTTGCTTCTTATGTGTGTGTATTTAAAATAAGTTGCAGACATCAACACACTTCCTCTACTAATTATATATATCCTAGAAATATTTTCTCCTACTTAACCACAATACTGTTACCCATACTTCAGAAAAATGAAAAATAACTCCAATGTTATTGAATGTAGCCATCGACACTGACATTTCCTCAACCGCCCCGCCCTGTTTATTTCTCTTTTGATCTAGAAGGGTTTCCTCTATTACACTGTTTTTGAAAATACTAGGCAAGTTGTCTTCAAGCATATCCCACATTATGGATTTATCTGATTGTTTTCTAATGGTGTAATTTAACTCACTGCTTTATCTCCTATATTTTTTTAAAGTGGAAGTTCGGTTTAAAGTCTTGATTGGATCCAGGTTAATACTGTTCATAATAGTTCATACAGGCTGCTGCTATGAACTGCATATTACTCTAAGTCGTGAAGCACAAAATGTCCTGTTCTTGCCTAGTCAGCAACGAAAAATTTGACGGATCACTTGGCTAAACTGGACAGCATTGATCTCTTCTAAGTATAAAGATTAGCAATAATCTATGGGAGTCATTTCAATATACTGTTCCACAATAGCATTTCACGTCATGATTTTAGCATCCATTCAATATCCTTTGCTTGAATAAATCATTTTAAATGTTAACTTTATCATGCTTTCTAAATTAATTAATTTTTAAAAAGGTTCACAGCTAATGTCAGTTTTGAGGTATAATCTCTATACAGTAAAACTATGGTTCTATGAATCTGACAACCAAAATATAGAACACTTCCATCACTCTAAAAAGTTCCCGTATGCCCCTCCGTGGTCAATGCCTGCTAACACTCCCCAGGCAACACCAATTTTTTAAAAAATATTTTTATTGATTTCAGAGAGGAAGGAAGAGAGAGAGATAGAAACATCAATGATGAGAGAGAATCATGGATTGGCTGCCTCCTACATGCTCCTCACTGGGGATCGAGCACAGAACCTGGGCATGTGCCCCTGACCGGAACTGAACCCAGGACCCTTCAGTCCGCAGGCCAACACTCTATCCACTGAGCCAAACCGGCCAGGGCAACAATGATTTTTTAATATGTGCCTATAGTTTTGTCTTTCTCAAATGTCATAAAAATGGAATGATAAAGTATATTAACTATTTGAGGAGCTCATTCCATATATATATATATATATATATATATATATATATATATATATTGATTACAGAGGGAGAGGGAGAGAGAGATAGAAACATCAGTGATGAGAGAAAATCATTGATCGGGAACTCATTACTTTTTATTGGTGAATGGTATTCAACTGTATGGATGTGCTATAATGTTTATTCATTCACCATCTGAAGGACATTCTGAGCTGTTTCTAGTTTGAAATGCTAATAAATATTTACATACAAGAACTGATATCCTAACAATATTATATGCAAAGATGTTTAATTCTCTTGAGCTAATATCTTTAAAAAATGGTATTTTGGGTTATATGACTATATTATGCTTAATTTTATAAAAAACTAATAGAGTTTCAACATGGCTGTACCATTTTGTATTCCCACTAACTGTATGAGGATTATTTTTCTTCATCCTTTCCAGTGCTTGAAATTGTAAAAAAAATTATTTTAGTCATTCAAATATGTGTGTAGTTTTAATTTGAATCTCCCTGATCCTATATAATAAAGAGGTAATATGGAAATTGACCGTCATACCCTCACAAAAGATGGCCATCTCCATGTGGTCATAAGATGGTTGCCACAAAATGGCCGGCAGAGGATGGAAGTTGTGGGCGATCAGCCCAGCAGGGGAGGGCAGTTGGGGGGGGGACCAGGCCTGCAGGGGAGGGGAGTTGGGGGCTACCGGGCCAGCAGGGGAGGACAGTTGGGGGGATCAGGCTGGCAGGGGAGAGCAGTTGGGGGTGATTGGGCCAGCACAGGAGGGCAGTTGGGGGCGACCGGGCCAGCAGGAGAGGGCAGTTGGGGGACCAGGCCAGCAGGGGAGGGCAGTTGGGGGCAATCGGGCCGGCAGGGGAGCAGTTAGGCAGCGATCAGGCTGGCAAGGGAGTGGTTAGCGGGTGATCAGGCTGGCAGGCAGAAGCCATTAGGGGCTGATCAGGCAGGCAGGCAGGTGAGTGGTTGGGAGTCAGCAGTCCTGGATTGTGAGAGGGATCCCAGATTGGAGAGGGCATAGGATGGGCTGAGGGGCATGCCCCCCTTCAGTGCATAAATTTCGTGCACTAGGCCTCTAGTAACTAATAATGTTAAACATCTTTTCATGTGCTTACTTGCCATTAAAATCTTTTGCCTTTTTTTCCAATTGGGTTATCCCTTTTCTTAGTATTGACATGTGAGGGCTAAGTATATATTCTGGATACCAAACCTCTATTGATAAGTGCTTTGCAAATATATTCCCTCAATCTGTACTTTTATTTTCATTATCTTAACAGTGTTTTTCTAAGAGAAGAACTTTTAATTTCAATGAAAAACAAATTTTCAATTAATTCTTTAATAATGCACCATGCTTTTTGTTTCAAATCTAAAGAGTCTTTAAAGAATCATGAAAATTATCACCTATGTTTTCTTCTGGAAGTTCAGTAATTTTAGGTTTTACTAGTACATTTAGTCTATGATCCACTTTGAGTTAATTTTTGTACATGGTGCAAATATTAATAGAGGTTCTTTTAAAATTATATATGTATGTCAAAGTTTTAGTGCCACCAAATTGCATTTGTATACATGTATATTTTAATCCTCACCTGAGGAT